AATCTTGTCGCTCTCAAGTGGTGGTCGCAAATGACGTAGAATACGCTTTGTAAACTGACCCACACACAATACCATCACTCTCATTTGCACTTCTCAAGTTTGTCAAAATCCTGTATATACATGTACATGTACATGTAAAAACAGAATTTAAAAAGAAGACGAACTAACTTGCAGTGTACTGTATATATACTGTGTAGATTGATGTATACGTATGGTGAAAAATAAATTGTATTTGAAATCAGTGTGAGCCTTTGACCCAAGCCCTTTCCACCAATGAGCGTTCGATGGGCGAAGCTTGTCAGGGAGTAGTTGTGTTTTTCACGTCGCGTCGCTCGATAGCGCCAGAAATTATCATTTTTTGCGAATTTACAGGCAAATTATTACAAACGTATGACAAAATTGGATAAATAAGAGTGGATTGCTTTTTTAGTGAGTGTAGTGTGCAAGTTTATTCACAAACCAGCCATATTTGTTTGGTGTACAGCGATTCCAAGTGCGGACGTTTCATACCCTGTCTTTATTTCTATACTAGTATATACCGGTAACCCTACCCAAGCCTATCTCTCTTAACCATAAATCCTGTTGCAAGCGCCCGTGCGGTTCTATGAGTGGTAATTACGTTGAGTCTTGAAGGCACCCCTATCACAGCCATGTGAACGGTCATTGACACCACATCCTGGGGTGTGAGGTACCCAATGAAAACCTGTAAACAGATATATTGTTTACCACTGATATGCAAATGAGATAAAATAGTCCTTTCTAAAGTTTTCTTTGCATTTGGTGCATATCTTGAACTAGATATATTTTGAGTTTTTATGATTGTGTAATTTAAATATTACGACCTCCAAAGTTATCTTCCTGCACAAACAAGGAGAGCCATGAAATAATTATGCAAATTAGACACGTATCCATGTACTAGTAGTAAAATGAGGTTATTATGAGGATATCGAAAAGTATGCATGAAGACAGTACACCAGAGGTTTTGCTTTTCAAGGATACATCATTGGAATGCCGAAATCCCCAAAAGTTTAGAACAGAATCAGTGAACTTCTTTGTGTGGATCCTGTGTCAAATCCTGGTGGCAGCCATGTTTGTTTTTATTATTAAAGAACGCTTATGTGTGTAATCATTCCATATTTAGAATTCGCATGTCCTAATATGGTAGAATGATATATAATAATTCTTGGCATTTTCACTCTAAATTAATAATTCTGCATACAAGGCTCCCTACTAGCTCATAGTTATTGCCCACTACAACCACAGGAAATCGGCTTGTATTAGTACAATAAATCAAGAAAACTTATTTACGAGTTCTGAGCAACGTGTAGAGTTTCACTAACACAGTTGGAGATATTGTCTATTTAGAATTTGTCATGCACCGGTCACAAGGCTTGTCACGAACTTGAGTGGGATCAAAAATCAGTATAAACATAAATATGACAGGTCAAAAATAATTTTTAAAATCTAGCAGTGTTACCGAACAAACGCATTATAATATAACACTAATTTAAAAAACAATAAGTTTATCACAAGAATACCGCAAAATATACAATCTGGCAGTACGGGGGTTGGGTCAGACTCTGCTACATGATGGTTGATACAACCATTGTACTACCTTAAGGTAGTTTTTCAATAAATTGTACTTCTGAGTTTAAAAAAGGTAGGGGTCACCAGCTTAATTTTCGAAAAAATCATGGTTCTATTTTAGTGAATAGCGGCCATTTTGGCATTATTATTATAGTGCTTTTACCATAGATTCCTATGGCAGAGATATTATGCCATATCTCAAATTGTAGCCTGGTGACATAGGCTGAAAAATTATATATATATGATGGAGTATTTTTTGTTGACCACAATTATTTCAAAAATCTGGGTTTTAAAAGTGCCAAAAAATGACATTTTTCTTTAACATTGTGCTCTATAGAATTTTTCTAGGAATGGCGATTTTTGGAAAATTATAAGACAAGTTTCTTAAAATATATCACTGTAGCACAAAAGAATGCTATTTCATGGTGCTATGGTGTCTATTAATAAAGAGTAGTGAGTATGCTTCTAGCCCGATTCAGGGGTATAACACCGTATCTTCCCACAGCTATTCGTATCAAATTTTGTTATGCTTTTATCATTCCCCATTTGGATTACTGTAGTACAGTCTGGGGTTCAGCCCAGTTAAATAGATTGGCCAGGATGATTTTTGATCTCTCTCCGCGAACTCCTACTAAACCTCTATTTAAAAAATTGAGATGGATGACCGTAATGGATAGGGTTGATTACCGGCACTCTGTTATGATCTATAAATCATTAAATAATCTTGCTCCAACTTATATGAGACAAATGTTTAAATTGACCAGAGAAGTCAGCACTAGGACTACCAGGAATTCAGACAGATCCAAGTTATACTTGGCTCCTGGTAAAATTATTAAAGTATATTCAGATAGCTTCCAATTCTCGGCTGCTTAATTTTGGAATAAAATACCTCTATCAATTCGTGATAGTGACTCAATTGGAGCTTTTAAATATATCTATTTTAAATGGTCCATGTCAAAAATTGAGTTGTTATGTTATATTTCTGTACTTTATTTATAAATGTATTATTAATTTCTGTATTTTGTACAAATTTTTGAGGACCATGTGTGAGATAAGCCTATGGCTTATCGTCTTTAAATAAAGTCTATTATTATTATTAATACATGTATTATTATGGGAAAATAGCTTCATGATTTTACATAATAAACCAATGAACATTGTTATGCGATTTATGACTAACTTTCCCAAAAATGATGAGTAGGCTTCTACCTTAATGAATACTTTGTGTTATTCTATTTATAACATCGTATATATTACAAGGACGAAGAAAGTGAAATAACAATATGGGATCACTGTACTCAGTTCAAAGAAGATTATTACCTAAATTGAAGGGTTCTCCCTACCAGGGTGTGGAGTTTTTGATAATTATAAGTTAAAATGGAGCATTCTATGGCTTCCTTGGTTGAAGACTGTGGCCACATGTGATCCCTGGTCATTCAGAATTTTATGGTTGCCAGAGGATCTGCTCCCCAGGGTGCATGGCCATGGCATGAGGGGGCTGCTCCCCTGTTCCCTTGTTTAAAAAAATCCCTGGAAATAATATACCAGTATAATATTTTTTTTATTATCTACAGCCATATTTGTGGTTGAAGGAGTGCCCACCTTCAGTGATGTGTATCATACAAGTGGAATATTAAGATTACCGTATGCCGAACTCAATGAACCGTTTGAGGTGTTCTACAACAAATCAGCCGCTGCAAGCCGAATGGACTTCTATGGTGGTAAGTGTATGCGAGGATTCCATGCAAACTTGTAATATAAGGCTGAGGAATAGGCACATTTAGGATATTTTGTGGTTAAGTTAAGCATGTATTGACTATTTTGACCTGGGTTTACCATTGTTAAGCATAGAATGATTGTTTAAAATGGCACTCATGAAAGTTATTTTAGGATTTCAATAAAATTTATAAAGATGTGAAAAATGTCTTTACCATGAGACGAGTGTTCTATCAGTATTATTAGTCCCCGTTCGGAGGAAGTCCGAAAACAGGGACTATTAATTTGGGTTTGTTTCGTCTGTACGTACGTCTGGAGCTATATCTTGGACATCCATTGACGGATTTCATTCAAACTTTACTTGAAGACAATACATAATATCTTATATGCGCGTCCAGTTACTTTATGATGGGAGTAAAAATGGCCGACTGGCGACCATTTTGGATGTAAAATTTGCTATTACTGATACCTGAATCGCAGCAGTTTCTTGGAGATGACTGGGCTGATTTGGATTAAAGTTGGTATGATGATCATACATATTGGATTGTAGGTGCACCTCATTTTTTTTCGTGATTCTAACAAATATGGCCAACTGGCGGCCATTTTGTTTTTCATGGTACCCATGCTACTTTCTCTTGAATGCAATGAACGTTTCTCTTTAAATTTTGTACAAAGATAGTATACCAAGGGATACATGCGCACCAACATTATTTTTGTGATTCGATTCAATATGGCCGGCCAATGCCCAATTTTCATGTAAAAGTGCAAAATCCTAATTTTTCACAAATCCATCTCCTATTAATGGATTCAATCTAATCTCAATGACTTCATCAGCATCAAATTGATATGTCAGATCACAAAATTTTGAATGGGGACTGTGTTAACAATGACTTGTTAATTCTAAAATGTGTCTTGTGTACAATAAATAGATTTTCATCACACATTACCACAATTGCATACAATTTTATGGATACCTATAAGGAGTAATTTACTTAATATGTACATAAATGATTTTTTTTAAAGCAAGGGAGTGTCACCTGCGCATGTCTGAGAATTGAGTCCTAATTGATGATAACAACGCACGCTAAAATCACAAAAACTTGTGGGTAGATGCTTGTTTGTAAACAATGACATACTATGGTCAGATACTCTCTCGCTTTAACCTTTTCACCACAACTACCCTCTTTTCATGACAAATTCACAAAATAACGGTAGTCCTGCACTTTCCTGCAGAAGATTGGGACAAAAATAGTTAAATTTTTTGACTAAAAAATGAAAATTGACTTACATTTTGTCATTAGGGTTCATTTCCAGAAATATTGAAGGATATAAGAAAGTCTTAAGAAAGTCTGGTGGTGAAAAGGTTGATAATAATGATAATACTGTGGAGAGAAATGATATACAATTAATTGGAGTCTACTAAAAAAAAAGATGTAACATTGCATTCATGCGTATTAAGTTCAAATACCCACTTATGTACTGTCCCTATTTAATAAAAACATGTCAATTCATATTTACAACACCCGGCACCTTTTGATCACCTTCAAATACAACCAACTAGTACCAGTAACAAAAATATTTTTTCACAACATTCATTCAATTTACTATATAAATACATATGGTACATGATACCTAATGTTTTCTAGGTATGGATAAGACATATCTGCTGGCGACAAAGGGAACATATGGTACATCCTTTATCATTTCTCCAATGACTGACAAGTCTGGTACGAGTGCAGCTGAATGCTTTCTGGTGAATGGAACGAAAGATGGTCCTATTGCAATCCAAAGTATATTACCTGATGTATCTCAATTCAAAGTAAGGTTTGACAATTTATTATTATTTATACATACCTGCCATGTTATTACTGGTGCATACTGAAATGCATCTCTAACAAAATCCTCGTCCACTCTAATAATAAAAATGTTTTTAATTCTGCAGAGTATTGGGAAGATTATTGTACGTGGTATTATCACAGATGGATGGCAATTAGTTGTAACCAATGGCAACAAGAAGAACACTTACACAATGGCAGTGCTTGATAATAAGCCAGTACAATATGAAATGATGGGTTATGATTCATTACTCGGATCACATTATGATAAATACATTGTGGATTATATGCATTATGACACCCTGCCTATTGATCCCAAGATATTTGTAATACAAGGTACAGTACTAGCTATGTCTCTTTCCTCTAAGACTGTGCAAGAATATTTTGCTAATCACTATAATTACACAGAGAACAACCATTTAATCAAATACATTCTTTTGTGAATTGGCACCCCACAAATATACCTTCCGTGAATTGGCACCACACAAATACATCATTCTAATAAATACTGAGGCACATTATATGTTTTATTATGCCTGTAGATGAATCAAAGTGTGGAAGTTTTCCAGGACCTGGTATTGAACATCACTTAGCATCAAATCCTCTGCAGGAACTTGTTAATCCAGACAAAGAAAACAGCATACACAAGTTATTTGATGAGTTCAAAAACAAACATGATAAGCAATACCACGGTGATGATGAACATGAAATGCGCAAAATGCATTTCACTAATAATGTAAGGTAATGCAAGTTTTGAAATAATCACTGAATTCATGTAAGTGGACTGATATGAGGTACTGTCAGATGGTGGTTGTGGCCATTTTGGCTGATAGTAATGGGACTGTTACGTGGTGTTGTGGCCATCTCTCAGCTGATAATGGGACTGTCATGTGGTGGTTGTGGCCATCTCTCAGCTGATAATGGGACTGTCAAGTGGTGGTTGTGGCCATCTCTCAGCTGATAATGGGACTGTCAGGTGGTGGTTGTGGCCATCTCTCAACTGATAATGGGACTGTCATGTTATGGTTGTGGCCATCTCTCAGCTGATAATGGACTGTCAGGTGGTGGTTGTGGCCATCTCTCAGCTGATAATGGGACTGTCAGGTAGTGGTTGTGGCCATCTCTCAGCTGATAATTAGACTGTCAGGTGGTGGTTGTGGCCATCTCTCAGCTGATAATCGTATTGTCAGGTGATGGTTGTGGCCATCTCTCAGCTGATAATCGTATTGTCAGGTGATGGTTGTGGCCATCTCGCAGCTGATAATGGGACTGTCAGGTGGTGGTTGTGGCCATCTCTCAGCTGATAATGGGACTGTCAGGTGGTGGTTGTGGCCATCTCTCAGCTGATAATGGGACTGTCAGGTGGTGGTTGTGGCCATCTCTCAGCTGATAATGGGACTGTCAGGTGATGGTTGTGGCCATCTCTCAGCTGATAATGGGACTGTCAGGTGGTGGTTGTGGCCATCTCTCAGCTGATAATGGGGACTGTCAGGTGGTGGTTGTGGCCATCTCTCAGCTGATAATGGGACTGTCAGGTGGTGGTTGTGGCCATCTCTCAGCTGATAATGGGGACTGTCAGGTTGTGTCAGTGGCCATCTCTCAGCTGATAATGGGACTGTCAGGTTGTGTCAGTGGCCATCTCTCAGCTGATAATGGGGACTGTCAGGTGGTGGTTGTGGCCATCTCTCAGCTGATAATGGGACTGTCAGGTGGTGGTTGTGGCCATCTCTCAGCTGATAATGGGACTGTCAGGTTGTGTCAGTGGCCATCTCTCAGCTGATAATGGGACTGTCAGGTTGTGTCAGTGGCCATCTCTCAGCTGATAATGGGGACTGTCAGGTGGTGGTTGTGGCCATCTCTCAGCTGATAATGGGACTGTCAGGTTGTGTCAGTGGCCATCTCTCAGCTGATAATGGGACTGTCAGGTGGTGGTTGTGGCCATCTCTCAGCTGATAATGGAACTGTCAGGTGATGGTTGTGGCCATCTCTCAGCTGATAATGGGACTGTCAGGTTGTGTCAGTGGCCATCTCTCAGCTGATAATGGGACTGTCAGGTGATGGTTGTGGCCATCTCTCAGCTGATAATGGGACTGTCAGGTGGTGGTTGTGGCCATCTCTCAGCTGATAATGGGGACTGTCAGGTGGTGGTAGTGGCCATCTCTCAGCTGATAATGGGACTGTCAGGTTGTGTCAGTGGCCATCTCTCAGCTGATAATGGGACTGTCAGGTGATGGTTGTGGCCATCTCTCAGCTGATAATGGGACTGTCAGGT